TATATATATATATATATATATATATATACCCTACCAGTAATTATATTTTATGTCGTTGTATAACTGATTTTCTTCTTATAATTGTGGCATAAATTTAATTCGCTGTGTGCAAATAATAGTTACAGGTGATTCTATATTAATTTACAATTTCCCGATCTACGATAAAATATTCAAAGATAGGAAACGTATCTTCGATACGTATTTTATAAATAAATCTGTTTCTCAGATAAGTGAAAATTTATCTGAGAAATATTATGTTAAGTTTTGCGGAATTTTGATGCGCGGCGGGTCTTAAAGATTTACATTACGAATTAATTGTAAAATTATATCGCTCGGAGCGCTTGCGCAACGGGCACTACACCGTCAAAAAAAAAAGCCTTCAGGTTGTCCCTTTCTTTCCTCTTTCTCTCGTACGAGTACGTTCACACTGCGTCTTATTACAATAATATCCACATCGCTATTCTTGTCAATTAAATGTAATTGTATGTATATATATATCTAATATATAGTATATACACAATTGTGTATATAATATATATGCGCCAATTTATATAGTAAATTTATCTTTTTACGTCTACAATATTTATATAATATATTTATATATACTATAGTATAGTATGCGCTTACGCCGTCTAATTTCTAAAAAGAAACGGTACATTATTGTCTGCGGTATTTTTTGTTTTCGAGTATTCATATATATATATATATAGTATATATACAATTCACATTTTTGGTATTCATATAATATAATAAGTTCAATGAAAAGCTCAATGGCGTGACCATGTAGTATTCATTGAGTACAATAAGTCTGAAAATCCGTGCGCTTCGCGATACTCCTTGCACATAATCGATCCAACGATTTGCTTCATAAAGGATGAGGAAGGGAGGATAGGAGAGCGGAGTATTTTTCGCTGTCTTTTATTACACTTGTCACGAATTTTATCTATTACGATTGCCGATTTAAAGAACGAAAATAACTGAGGATGACACGTGTAATTCAATCAAGGAGGATCGTGAAGGTGACTCGGCTCTCGACGACAATGTCGCGCTAACATTTATGTAATTTTTCGTTTATCTTGGCAACTAGGCAAGCTCGGTCGTTCACGGAAGGCATCGTATGGTGCTTATTAAATCGTTGCTTCAACAATCATAACAATTTTCATCGCTTTCATTTTTTCCTTTCCCCGCTTATTATTTTTCATTTCTAGTTATTATCTTCGCTGTTGTCACTTTTTTTTATCTCATTATTGTTCGTTATTGGGAGATAATGTCGATGCACAAAAGCTGGCGCGATTTATATTACGTTTTAACTTTTTTTTTTTTCGTTTCGTTATTTAGTAGTACGTACATTATATTGAGGCAAGCGGGTCGCAAAAGCTCCCGAGAATTAGAGGAAATATATTTTTCTGCCTTTCCATCCTGATGTCCTAACCCATTGTTGGTCGTGAAGTTATTTAATAAGTCAAGACATTAATTAGGGAAACGATACAGTTTCGTTGAGCTCAGAACTCTTTGTTGAGCTCATCGAAATTACATCACTTTTAATTCTTGGTGCAAATACAAAATAGACTGAACGTTCATTGAATACTTAATCTAAGAGAAATTACAGACAAAAAATTCTTTCTCTCTTTCTTTTTCTTTCTGGAAAAGGTAAAGCTTACATTTAAAAAAATTATACAAAAGGGAAATAGGAAAGCAAAAAGAGAAACAGAAAAAGTTACTAACGAGTGGATACAGTTAGGAACGACTTGTCGCTTGAAACTAAATGAAATGCGATTGAGAATCATTCGTCGCGATTGCAGATTATAAAATGGGAACAAATGAGAAACGATATCCGCATCGATAGGGAGAAAATAGAATTCTACGCGCCTGTATCGGATGTAAGGAAGAGATCCGTTGCAGCCGGAATTATCCGGTTACTCGATCGATTAGTGTACTATGTCACGCGTATCCGCGTATTATAATATTACATTATAATTATATAAAAATATATTTCTTAATTGTTAACACTATAATAAATGAGTATTATAAGCATTATATTTGCACATTTTTTTATCTTTCTTTCCTTTTCTTTTTTCGCATAGTGATAGTGGTAAACACGATGCCTATCGCGGATAACCGAAGCTTCTACACGCACGAAACGTCGAGGAAGTACAACCGTGACGTACCGGTTTGCCGTATGCCGCACACATACACACACACACACACACACACACACACACACACACACACATACACACATACACACATACACACATACACACGCACATATACATGCACACACATACATACCCTGGCACAAAATTTCAATAATACAGTAATATCTGTATCTCATCTTTCTTCTCGTTATTTTCTTTTTTTTTATCAATAACAATATCACTTATCACTTGTAGTACTCGTGTAAATAAAAAGACGCATAAACTGTTATAAAATACATTCTCGAGTATTATCAATCTGTAGAGTATATATATATAATATACGTCCTTATCTCTCTACGCGTTCGAACGAATAAAATCATATAAACGTCGTAATATAATAATTTTAATCGTACAATATTGGAAGCATTTAATATCATACTTAGGTGTTACGGTTATTTTCGGGCCTCGGATTTCGGTGAAGAGATTATTGCGAGGTTTCGGTGCACGTTTCGTGTTTCTTTGCGCCGCACCTTTCCATAAAAACGTAAATATATACAAAAGACGAAAGGACACTCTGAACATTCGGACATCCTTTTGATATCTTTTGCATACATTCTTTTGGATTTCTATGTTATACATGTCACATCAAAATCTAATTTCCAAACTACTATAATCTCTGCGCGCGTCGCGCGTTTTGAGAGATTACTTCCGCTGGCAAAAGCGAGGTCAGGGTTAATTCTGATGAAAGGTGCCACACAGTGCTTATTCGTTGCAAGAGGAAAAAGTGATAAATAAAATGGAAGAGGCCCTGAGAAACGGATCCTCGCGGAATGTGTAACGCATTTCACGACATACTACGTATTTCTCATCGTCTCGAACAATTATCACGTTAGACATTACAGGAATAACGCATCATCAACTTGCCACCATGTAAGTACAATAGTATAAAAAAAGAAAAGACCTTCTCGCATGACATCGATCACCGACCCGATCATGGCCCTTAAATCCAAACTCGCCTATTTCGCTCTTTCTCTTTCTTTTTCTTTCGTTTTATACATATAATAATAATAGAATAATAATATAATAATATAGCCTGCTTTCTTCGAGTAAAGTTATTCATTGTAAGGAAGTGGAACATGAGATTCTAATCTCCGTCTTTACAATCGACAAAATTCCTTAATGTTAAGCTCAATTAACAGCTGTACCCCAGACATATTTGATTTGGTAAACTCAATTATATCCATCTTTACTCGTGTAAAACGAGTACTCATTATACTATGCGCGATCTCCATTCTTATATTCAAATTATCGTTGGAACCTGAGTTTTTGGAAATTATTTGTCGAGATATCCGGCGGATATCTTCGCGGAGATTAATTGTTCAAAAACTTTCCTTTTCTATTCATTTCGATCGTCGAATCTAGTATATTTCGTACATTTCTTGCGAATGGATATCGCGCTCCTCATACGGACGTAGCTAACAAATTTGTACATTAATTAGTTTTCTTATTATTGTCATGGTATATATAATATTTTGTTAATAAAAATACTAAAATATTATGTATATTATATTATATATATAATAGATTATTGCATTATGCTTTTTGGTACCGTTACATGCGTTTGGCTTATTTGTCGACACGCTTGCCGCGAGTAATTTTCTTTTTCGTTTGTATTCACCGGTTTTCATTTTTTTTTAAGTTCTAAAATAAAATTAGTAAAATCTCTAAAGTCGGCTCAGACGATTCGAGAAAACAATATTATTTTCTTTATCTCAGTTACGAGATTAATATACATTTTGACATCTAAATTTTCCGTCTAAATCGTTCTTCATCTTTTTCTTTTTCTTTGAAGTACGAACCGACGAGCAATAACGCCATGGCTTTATAATGTGATGTCGCGCAGCATCTTAGGTATACATTATCTATACTTATAGCTTCACAAAACGTCGCGGCGTCTCTTAAAATTCATACCGCGAGAGGAGAGTATAAAGGCGTTCTAGCGAATTTTCACACGAAATGGGAGTTTCGAATAAACTCAGACGTAAAAGAGGAATTCTAAACGTAAGAAAAAAAGCATAGTCTTATATAGACCAGTAAGAGCAAAATGTCAGTAATAACTAGCAGTTTGTCAGTAAATTCAAGCAGAATATTGCGACATACTGGCATTAACTGCATCCGCATTATAAGCTTATATTCTACCAGCAAAGTCTGCCGATACAATCCAACAACATATACCGAGCAAAATCTGTCATTTCGTAATCATTTAAATGTAATATCTTCAAATATAAACTAAATTTAAGTAGTATAGCAAAAGAAGTGGGGTAAGTGACAAACAAAAGGAGGAAATTAATATGAAAGAGTAGAAGAAATATTTTAAAAGATCTGTTAAGAGCGATATAGAGAATTTAGGTAAAAAAAAGAAAAGAACTGATGAAGAGAAGAGATAAAAAGAGGAGAGGTAAAGATAGTATTGAAGGGGATCAAGAATGATATTCCTGAAAGTTTGGAAGTATAGAGTAAGAAGGAAATGAAAAAAAAGATGGGTTTGGATTTTGTAACAGAATTTGATAAAGAATATATGAGAAAGTGGAGCGTGAGGGAATAAAAGAGAAAGAGGGTATAAGATTATAGATGGTAAAATTGATTCCGTCGTTATATTAAGAATATTTCGCGCTAAATGTACACATACACTAAGAGAAAAATTATTTTAATTACTATAATTCGACTAATTTATAACATTTTCATTGTTATATCTTTTTTTGATAAAATTCTAAATATAATTATTGTTACCAATATTATAGCAATAATAATTATAAAATGGATAAAAGACTCCTAACCATAATTATATTATGGTCAGGAGTCTTTTTTTTGGCTATAACAATTATAGTTACAAGTACCAAAAACTTTTCTCTTAGTGTAGGACGAGACCCAGTTGCGAATATTCAAAATTATTGAATCTCATTAAGGTGGTTCTATAATAAAGTGCCGAAAATTTGTGGGAACCCTTACCAGGGTCCACCTAAAATTACGAATGTCTACATAATTTGAATAAAATATTGAAACTACGTGTATATTTTAATAAAATAATATAAAATACACAATATTTAATATAAAAAGTAATGAAATAAAAAAAAGTTGATTTCTTATACAATTTGTTTTTGTGAAAATTCAATATAACATAATAATGTAATATAATTTTGCCATTTTAACATTAAATTATCTTTCTAGAATGACCGATGACCTATTATTTTTTCGTGACTATTACAATCGTAATTTTTTTAACTATTATAATCTCGTTTTTTTAAAGAAATCGATGGTAATGTTTGTGTGCGGTGAGTAAAAAAGTGTCTTCGATCCTTATTTGTCACTAGATTTAAAGTTACATTTTCAGTTACATTTTTTTTCTCTCTTATTTCATTGATAAATGAAATAAGAAAACCTATCCTAAAATTTTGCACACGTCAAGTTCAATATTTCAATTTTATTACATTAAAAAATGAGACATTTCTATGGTAACTCGATTTACTGTAGAACCACCTTAATCGCTAAATCGATTAAGTTCTAAATAAACTCAATTGATAGCTCAATTGAGTTTAAATTACACTAAAGTATATATCTGAACAATCAACAGTATATATCTGAATAATCATTAAAAAAGATAAGTATAACAAAAATATAGCGACAATGTATTACTGACAATGTATGTATGTTAGTAGTTACATTGTCAGTAATAATATATCGTTCTTGTAAAACATGACGTTTATTATGTCTTACAAACTTGAATAGAAAATTTTGAATATTGATTTTGAATTTATTTAGAATATTAATATTCCTTATAAAATATGGTAAAAGTAATATTGGCAAGATCAAATTGGATACAATAGGGAAGCAAAAGATATATATAAGGTTTGCGGAGAGAAAAACATAGTATATAAAGAGAGAAATAATCAAAGATTTTGCTTGGTTTTTGTTGGCATTCTACTAATAAAATTTGTACTGACACTTTGCAAAAATCTTTTGGATAGATTTGGTTATCTGAGTGACTGTGTATTCTTATACAATAGCTGATGGCAACATTGAAGGATAGAAATATACGTAGTCACATGTCTGTCACACAATGCTTTGGAAAAAACTAATGTAAGAAAACATAAAAATGAGAATACATAAAAATAAGATAATGCGTAGTTTCATAATAATTTGTTTATAAATTCCACGATCAATCCTGGAATTTATCTTTATTTCATATATATATATATATATATACATATAGATTTTATAAAAAATTGATTGAAAAATTAAAAATTAAAGGAGTACAAGGTAAATGATAATCCATAAGAATGAAAGTTGAAGAAAGAGAGGATAATGCGCATCTCTTTCTAAGAACAAAGAAAAAAACCGCTTCTTCTTTTTCCTTCTCTTCTTCAACTGCACCAGTCGGACAAGGAAAGTATCTATCTCTTGTCCTCTCTACTAATTCTGACTTCTTGCCTCCAACGAGAGAACACGGTCTATCTATATAAGTCTATGGGAGAAAAGTATAATCTAATAGGTAAGCGAACGAGCCTCAGATAAGAAGACTTGAGTACTTCTATTCTCTGTAGGGTTTGCAATAAGAATAACGATGATTCATGTGTTGGCTGTAGGAGCCGGAGTGAGAGAAGCGCTTGAGGCACTTGGAGCACTGGAAGGGCTTTTCGCCGCTGTGCAGCCGCTTGTGTTCAGTCAGATGATGCTTGTGCTTGAACGCTCTTGGACACTCCACACATTTGTAAGGCCTTTGCCCTGAAACATTTATCAATCTTTTGTTTGCGTAATAAATTTTGCTTAGAAAGTACGATAATCCGAGGCAAAAAATTCCACTCTGTCTTAAGGTTCCTTGATTGACTTGGATCAGCGTATTTCAATTTGCGGTGTACATTAAATAATAACTAACTAAATTATTTCACACTAATTATATTGAGAATTGCACACTATTATATTGGATGAAATGAATTAGTTTTCATATATAATGTACTTATAACTTATAATATACAAGTACAGAAAACCTATATAAATTACATAGATTGAGACAAGATCTTAGAAATTCTTAAGTTTTCGTAGATATTTGTAGTCGGACATAGAGTAGCGTTATTTGGCAGAGGATTTCTTGGTTTTTCAAACAAACAACATTTCTACGAATATCTATATAAAATTACGATTTTCTAAAATCTTGTCTCAATCTATGTAATTTTTCATAAAAATTTTTTCGCTAGAGGTGATAAATAAAGGATGTTATAGATTACAAAGTTCAATAATGGATGATTTTTGAGCAATGATGTATCAAAGATATAAAACTTGTGCTTACAGAGCATTTTTGATAACTGTAGTTCAAAACTATCTGTTATTGATATATCTGACATCTTTTGTTCACTACATTATAAGCTATGTATATAAAAATTAACTCATTTCACTAGGACTAATTATATGTCTACGCAATTCTGCGTATAATTAGTAATGGGATTCTTTGCCGAAGTATATTATTAGATGCATTAACGCTCAACATAGATTTTTTTTATTAACGCAACAGAAATAAAAAGTAAAGTTCTAAAATTTTAATTTTTTATTTTATCATTTTGAAAGTAATTTTATTGTATTGACAATATCACTTTGATTAAAATAACAATTTTATTTAAAACACAATTTTATTTAGATAATTTTCACAATTCTTAAAATATTTTTATTTCGTGTTTTACTCACTTTTTTACTTATTTTTTAATTTTTTCACTTTTTTCATTCTTTTAAATTTCATGGCACATTTGGACTGTTTCCAACTTATTGTAGTATACAACACCGGTTGAAAAATTCTGATTTACTATTAGGTAACAAAAGAAAAAATATTGATAATTGAAAATATATTGATAATTGTAATTTATGAGCTTTCCATAAATTATTAACAACTCTTATTCTTTTTAATCAGTTTTAGATATATTTTAGTAAATTTTGATTAAGAGAGAGAAAGATATAACTATATTTTATTACAATTTGAATTTAAAGATTTGAATTGAAATCATAAGAATTTGAATTTTGTAAAAGAGTAGTTTATGTAAAAAAAAAAGAGACTTATTCATTTTAATGAAGTACCGTATCTCGAATTTCTGACTTATCGTTAGATAATGGCTCTTAATCGTTAAAATTATGAAACGTTGCAATAACGTATATTACGTATATTAACGGTAACAGTAATGTACTTACCGGAATGTTCATACTTGTGTCTCGTAAGGGAACTGTGTTTGGAAAATGTTTTCTCACACCGATCACAGAAATAAAGACCCTGCTCGTTTTCTGTTGCTGTAGGGGTTATTTCCGATTGTGGTGCAATTTCGATCTCGCCCTTTGCGTTCGCTTGATTTTGATTCTAAAAGATAATACAATAAATATGAATTATACGTTCGTTTATAAAATTTAAAATCGCTTAATCTTACTTTCTTTCATTACCTTTGTGATTATCTCTCCACTAGGAGGTATACGCTTAGTTTCAATGGGATCAGTAGCGGTTTCTTCGTCTATGACTAAAGGTAAATCCTCGAGGTCATCGTTATCGGGGGGGACAGTTGGAGCTGCAATATCATCCTTCTGTTCGCATGGAGACGAGGTGTTTCTGCTTGATGTATCACTTTCTTTGATCACTGTAACAAATGTTTCTTTCTTCGATAAATCCAAAGGCTGTTCAATAATAGATGAATTCTCTGGAAGTGCTAAAGGTACCAGAGCTGGTGGCATTTTCGATTCTCTTCGATCCCTGGCACGTGAATTTTGGAACCAAACCTATAAAATGATCATATAATTGATAATTAATTATCACAAGTTTGTTAAATATTATTAAATTTATTAGTTGTTTTAGAAAATATTCTAATTTTCAATCTAATTCTCTCATTTAGACAGACAATTTAATCTGTCTTTATTTCGCATACCTGTACGACACGAGTAGGAAAATTGATGTAATTGGCGATCATGATGATCTCCTCCTTTTTAGGTCGCGGATTGATGGCATAATAACCTTTCAAAACAGCAAGCTGTTCATCATCTATGAGCGACCTAGCTCTGACTCTTCTACCGTGATCGTTCTGAGTCTGGTTACCCTCTTCTTCATCTTCCGAATCCGCCTCAGAACTTTCCTCCGCTTTTTTCTTGGCTGATCTCGATGTCGGATTGATATTCTCGAGCTTCGCGGCTAAACCTTCACTTTGTAAATCATATTGGTCCGTTGTGCCCCAATCCGGACAATGTGTCATTTCATTAGACATTTCGCTATCTTGATCCTATAAATAAGATTCTAGTTCACAAACAGGAATGATTGCATACAATTTTTTACCAATGACAGCGCAACATTCAGAAATGAAAGTTAAAGTCCTAAAAGTTTTTTTATTTTATCATTTTAAAAGTGATTTCATTGCAATAACTTCACTTTAATTAAAATGAGAGTGAACACAACATAATTTAGATAATTTTACAATTTTTGAAATATTTTTATTTCATCTTTCATACGCTTTTTTGCTTACTTCTAAATTTTTTCACCTATCTCATTCTCTAAAATTTCGTGATACACTTGGATTGTTTTAATTCAACTTACTGCAATAGTATACATCGATACCAGTTGAAAAATCCTGACTTACTGTTAAATAAAAAATTAAATTTGAAAATATTCATAATTCTATTTTATGAGCTTTCCATAAATAATTATTAATAAAATTTTATAACTAATTCGATTGCACTCAGTGCGCAGTGGTGCACGTTAAAGCTGTATATTGTACATAGAAAAATTCTAGATATCTTTCTTTATAGTTTTATTTATTATTTTATTATTATTTCAGAGATCTCTGTCATTTTTTATAATAAATATGTTACAATTCGAAATGTAATCTAAAAGAGTCTACAATTATTAAATTTAGTTACTAATTTACATGTTATATTATTTTTTATATTTCATTTATATATTTAACTTTTAGAATATTCTACGCTATTTGTTGTCTCAACAATAACAAATTAATTCTCATTGCAAACCTTTCCCCGCATAGAACAAATAAAAAAGATTCCCTCGTTAAATTTCTCATTACATACCTGGTAATCCTCTTCGAACTTCCGTTTCATCGTGGCTGGAGACGTGGACAGCTTCCGCATATTCGCTTCAAGCAGCTGCTTCGTCACGGAGGTGTTTACAGTTTCTAATATTCGTCGGACCGCATCCAGACCTTGCAATGGATCTACCGGTGCAGGAGACTCCTTGCCCTCAGTGCCCTCCGTTCCCTCAGAATCTGCTGTCGATGGACTCATCACTTCCTGATGCGTCTCAAATTGCTCAGTAACGTGGTCGAATCGCTTAGCATGCAATTGGTTCAGCAACTTGCCTATCGAAGACTGCAGGAAATAATTTCCGAATCCCATCATGTGAGGCAGTAGAGTTGGCACGTCATAAATACCTGCATAAACCAATCAAATTGAAGAATTATGATAATCATCAAAATGACAGATATATCTGAAATCATTTTTAAAATAAAAATCCTAATACTGAATACAATATTAGTTTTTTAATAATAAAGTATTAATAATAAATTTTTAATAAAGTGTTTAAAGTTAACTGATCAAATTGTTTGAAATTTGCGTGCTCAAATACATGTTGTATAATAATAAAGATATTTTTATGCATCAATCCTATTCTTGAAATTGGTATGCATAATTATATACATATACATTCATTATCATGTGCCGCGCGAATTTCGAATAACTGGATCGGTGAATCTTATATCTACTAAATATTATTATACCCTCGGCACTTTTTCATTTATTATGTTTTTTTTAACATAATCTCAGAAGTCTATTATTATGAAAGATTTAGAACATCCTACATAAAAATTTATCGTTATTTCGACATTTTTATTGCAGAAAATCTGTTCGAAATTGCCCATCAAATTCGTAGATGAAAGGAGAATATATATATATATATATATATATATATATATATAACATATATATAACATGCATAAATGTAGTAATATATACATATCTATATTTTTAGAAGAAATATTGATCTAAGTGATAAAATTAATTACCTGTTCCCTCCCTTTGTATCTCTTGATACTCCGACGGCGATAACTTCGGCAGAATCGGCAGAAACGTATTATTGTTGGCTGTCAGCAGATCGACGTCACGTCGTCCCGATAAAGCCTGATGCGTCTTTTTCTGTCCCCGATCGACATTGGTTATGGTGTTCTGCCTCGATTTTTTCAGATTCATTATCAAACACTTTTTCGCTGTCATGTGGCTCGAATACGATCCAGAATGAGAGAAACGCTTGCCGCAATTGTTGCACTGGAATGGCTTCTCACCGCTGTGAATGCGCAGGTGTTCCTGCGAGAAATGGAGGAAGACGCGTTTAAATTTACATACTTTTTTTTTTATTCTTCTACGATTTATATAACACGCAAAGAGAAAGAGATAAACTCAAAGTAGAAATGGATACTAAATTAAAATCGTTAATATCAGTGATAAAGATAAATAGAATCTACAAGGAAAAGTAATAAAAAGTAAGAAATATAGTAAGAAATAATAAAATAATATTATATGTCATAATACACGCTTATTATTAATATGTAATAACAAAACACCTTAAGATGATGCTTGAATTTGAAGGCCTTCTCGCAATGAGGACATTTAAACTTTCGTAGAACAGCGCTTTCATCATGGCTAATCATGTGCCTCTGCAATCGGTAGACGTTGGCGAAGGTCTTGCTACACACCTTACAGGACTGTCGAATTATTGAGAAGGTTAGTCGAACAAAGATAAATAGTTACTCACGAAACTGATCAATTCGTATTATTACAAATTTTCTTATTAGGTGTTGGAATTAATTCGTAGCGTTTTTAATGAAAGAATGTTATTTATTTCACATGAGCATTAAAAAATACATTAATGAAAGTACTTCCCATCACTTGTAAAACGCTACGAATTAATTCCAACACCTAATAGAAAATTCATGAACAAAAATATCTGTAACAAGAGGTCAAAGATATTTGTTCGTTTATATGTTTATGTAAAATATATTCGTCGTCATCGAGTGTTTTCTTCGAATCAGTTCATCACAGATCATTTCTGTGTAGTATATTTAATCATAGTTTCATGAGTATATATGATATGTATAATTATCTCGCAAATAGAAAATGTTTTAATACATCATGGACGCTATATTTATACTTAAATTTTTTTTCGAGAACTGCATGCAACTAATAACAAAATCAATCGATCTTTTCTACTTGTTTCTTAAAAAAAGAGAAATTACATTCTTAATTCACTTTTAATCTAAGAGAAATACATATTTATTTTAATCGCATTAATTATGCATATTTTTTATTACATGTTGCAATCTGTCGAAATTTCAAATCTAAAATACCTTCATAAGAAAAGTTGACTAGACACATTCACATTCAAAATTAGTACGATTCAGCACACAATTCTATAGATAATTTTGTCATAACTGTAAAAAAAATATATATAAATATTTAATGAAAGCTTGACGTCACAAAATTACATATTAAAACGTTTTAAAACGTTTTAATTAAAAAAGGAGGCAGAAATATAGAACAGAAAAAATATAAGAACCGTGTTTGTCTCCAGATATATAATATCATGAAATTAAATATATAATTAACCATGTATCACTTGAGTTATGTACGAATAAGTTATTGTATAAAGTTATTATCTACAGAAATTCATCTATTTTTATTTACCTATTTATTAACTTTATAAATTGCAAGCTGGATACTTCGCACCTCACACCGTCACACTTATAACTTTACGCGATACTCATTTATATATGCTTATCCCAACAACCGTTAAAAAAAAAGTTAAGAAAATAAGACACGGTAACATCTACTACCTATTTACGAACATTCGTGTCTCCCTTCCTCTCGAAAATCGCGTGCGAAGAGATACGAAAACGGCGCCTCTCAGCGGAAAGCTGACTGCCGCTTTTGCGGGGATATAATCGATAAGTCCGCACGCGGGACGCGGCAAACAAGGGGCTCTTCCCCGGTAGAGTGTGTGTCCTTGACGGGTCATCGCGATCACTCACCACTTGGGAGAACTGGGCGTTGAGATCGTGCTTGTCGATGGTACAGGACGTTTTGTGCGTGTCCTCGAGATGAAGCTGCAGGACACGGACGTCCCGACAGGGGATGCCGCACTGAGGACACCTTTCACCACCCTGCTGCTGCTTCGCGGATGATCCGCCCTCGCTGTTGCCGCCACCACCCACCCCCCCGCACGTACCACCGCTGCCGCCACCACTTCCATCGCCGGCAACACTTCCACCTCCTGCGGTTGGCGCTCCACCCGCGCAACCTCCGCCCACCTCCGTATCCACGACACCTGCGTCGTCCTCGCTACAGCCTGTAACACGCGCACACGTGGCATGGTTTTTATATTTCACCTCGGCAGCGCGCCATCGCACAAAATATTATACACCGATCGAGCCACGCATTCAAGTACTGGTACTATTCAAGGTATACGCGTGTGTGATATTTCCAGGGTAAGTTAATGTTTTTTTTTTAAACTAAATTAAGTTAAAGTTAATTGCTTATAAAATTAATAAAATTAATTAAGTTGAAAGTTGAAGGAATAAAGAATGAACTTTTAATAAAAGTTAAGTTAAGATTAAATTAACTTAAGTTTAAAAAAAGAGTTAGTTTTGAAAAACATTATTTTTGAGATCAGAATGACCTAATTTTTTTAAAAATGAGATTACTTTAAATAACTCTTACAAATATAGATTATAGGCAAGTTTAATCAATTTATATCCACATTTAAGTTACTTATATATAATAAGAGTCACACCATAAAGTGTTTTTGTCGAAATCTTGTGAGAGAGAACGGTATATGTTTGCATTATTTCTCTTTCTTTAATCTTTATCTAACTTTCTTTAACTTCTGAAACGATTGTTCATGCATGTTTACGACTAGATATTTGTTACAAAAAATATAGGTAAAAAATTTAGAAAATGGATGGATGTGCAACTCTGTTCTACAACGATTCTTCATCTAAGGCTCATTTCATATTTACTGTTAAAATATAATGTTTGTGTGATACCTAAAATTAATGTGATTCAAATATAAGTGGGAATTGACAAAATCTAGCGAGTCAAAAAAAACTGGCTATCATATAGTGATTCTTATTATAGAGTCTCTCATCATATAATAAAATCATTGAACTTTTTTAAATTAATTCTGTAATGTTTAAGACTTTATAGAAAAAAAATATTAGCATTAAGAAAAATAAGAAAATTTTCAATTTAAAGAAAGTTAATAAATTAAAGTTTAAAAGTAATGAAATTAAGTTAAAAAGTAATGCATTTAAAATTAAGTTAAGTTAAAAGTTATTAACTTCTTAATAACTTTTTTTTTAACGTTTGAACTAGTTACCAATTCTGGATATTTCACTTGTTATTATTTTATAATATATAAGAAATATATAATCAAAAAGAAATTATCATTTTCTATTGACACTTAGAATCCAAAGATATTCGGAATTCGATATATTTTCTTAATCCTAACTTCATTCTTTCAAATTTAAATTAATGTTTTTATTTTTTAAAAGAGTTGTACTTCAATCGCTAATAATCGCTTTAACGCGTGGAAGAAAGCATGTTTGATAAAGTAAATTTTGTAATAACAATACAAATAAAAATGAATATAATTTCAGTGAATTCGATTGATAAACACAGAATATTACGAGCAAACAGAATGATCTCTATGTTTACTTGTATAACAGAAAGATTTGGCATAAAGTAGCATATTTTGGCATATCTTCAACGTCATAAATTAAACTTATTTGAATTATTAGTTTTAATTATCAGATAAAATTTGATTGATTCAATTTTTGTATTTACAATGCAGATATCGCGAATGAACGATATGTTGATTGAAATCTGGAATGTTTCCATTAGTCTTATAATCAGAAATTAAAATGCGTAGATAAAATTACGCTGACAATAAGATTGAATTATAACATTACGGAGAAATCTTCCATGTTTATTAATAGTAAAATCCAATCGATACGAACATTTTTCATATCTTTCATATTAAATATTATATGTTTTAGTTGTAAGCGCGACATTTGGTCCAATTACTTCTATATATTAAAGTATTCATATAAGTGATTCATTATTTTAAACGTAACATACAACGTGACAAACCTTAAGTCATCACGTTTTAAGCATACATATATATATATATATATATATATATATATATATATAAGTATGTATATACGTATATACGTATTAAAAAAAAGATTTTAATGTATAGTAAAATAAAAGCTTGAAATCCCTTTTTCAATTTTCTATATATGTATTTTCTATATATGTATTTCTCATGTGATTATGTTTTTGTTGTTTTATTAACATTAATTTTCCAATTTAAATCAAATGTTTGCAAATGAGACAAAAGAATATTTTATCAAATATCTCTAGCAGGGGAATTGACTATCAGCGAGGTACTGGCTATCAATTTTTATGTCAATACAAGTGTGATACCGAAGAAATATTGAGATGATAGTAATGGATCAAGCTAATACTAAATACAGTATGAAGTTACTGTACTAAATACAAACATGATACTGCAAATATATGTCGGTATACTGTCTCAATACTGAATCTGTTTTGAATAATTTCACGGAGCAACAAAATTAAAATTTTTAAAAGTTGTTTTAAAAATATATATTGATTTTATGATAGAAATTTATAATGATCTAAGTTAAAAAATAATCTCAAATTTGTTTATCCACAATTTTTTTACAACAAAAAATCTCTTAGAATACATTTTAAATATATTTAAAATATAAGATAAAAAATTATACAACTTGATTATTTAAATCTTATGTAAAAAGCTTAGTAGGTCCTTGAGAAGTCACGTCTATAATTTTTTTTGTGCCTTGCTTTTCGATTTTCACGGTACAGCATCCAACAATAACGTCTTATTTTCGTGGAAAAGTATATAATTTTTTTTACCATGTAATGTTAAATCTATAATACATTTATATTTTGTAAAGTATAAAAAAATTAAACGTGTAAAATAACTATGTGGTATAATATTTTTGTATTTTTCGAATTTAATACTTAAAAATGCGCCAAAAATATGATCCGAACATGCTAAAAATCAAAAAGTAATATAAAATTAATAAAATGAAATATAATAAAAAAAAATAATAATCTTAAAAATATATTGCTGTTTTTTGCCTTTTTAATGTGATTTTTCTCAAAATTGTGACGTGATAGCTAAATTTGGACAGCGTATTCGTATTCAGCACACAAGTAAGAATATAGAAATAGCTAAAATAGTTAAAACAATTTTTTCTATATATTTCCGTATAGACACAATAATACAAATGTACTGTTCTACTATTCAATACTGATCCATACATTAGACCAGTACCATATCATTATTTTTTAAATATTAATTCAGTATTGAAATAGGAAACTCATTTTTCGGTATCAGTGCTTCGCCAAGATTCAATACTATTGTATAAATCCACTTAGGATATTTCGCACGTTATACATTATAGATATAATTTAAACAGCCTATAATATCTAATAATATTTAATAAAAGATTACTCGAAATATAATCACCACCGCTATTTTCATTTTGCATTAATTTTTCAGCTACACTCTTATCTTAGACGTTAACATTCAGTAATCTATACATATATATTGTAGAAATCTGTGGTTCTCTAATTCTCGGAAATATCTTTTGATAATACGATGCTGTTATATCTAGAATATTCTTTACATAAAATAACAAAAATAAATAATATATATAATAATATTTTTTTATTTAGATTTGATAATAGAGAATGAAGATTTGATAATAAAAATAAATTATATAGAGAATAGAATCAAGCGTTTCTCATTTTTCGCATGCAACTCTTATGCAGACAATACATATCGTAACGCAATTATTTCTTAAAAGTTATATTTGTAGTTTTATTCATATTAAATTAAATAACGAAATTATTATACATGTTTAATGACATGATCAAATATTTATTAAAAAATTTATCCCGATCATAAATCCCAATCATATACATGAGATTGTTTCTTACATATTTCTTACAATTAATCACATTGATAGTAAGTTACATGTTTACTGAGAAATTAAATAGTTAGCAATAATTTAACTTGCTAATGTTAACTATGATTACTAGATATATCTAATGTATAACGATTAAAAAGTTTCTCTTGATAACAAATTAACTTCATGTTTAATTATTTATTAAAAACTTTGTGTATCTATATGTTTATATTAATTACTGTTAATTCTGAGAAATTACAAACTAACAAACAATTAATAAGTTTTTTATAGACTTCTTTAATTGAATTCAATTTAGAAATAACATGAAGTACAGACAATAGGAGTCAACGCTGGTTATCAATTAAAAAGTATCATCAGTATCAATTTGAAAGCATCAATATGAAAAGTATCAATTTGAAAGCAAATAAACTATAATTTATGACATACCTTATAGTTTTATATTACAAATCTTATAGTTTATTGAGAATCTCAGTGCAAGCATGATTTAAGGCAGGTATCATGTTGTAAATTTAGCCCATTGGTCTGTCAATTAATCATCTCTGATATCAATCGTTTATTATATTATAATAATTCTCTACATCTAGAATCTCTACATTTTGCCAATCAAAATCATGATCGTTTTGCAACCTGTAATCATCGAATTAGGATGTTTGACTATGGATACGATTTTGGTGTTCAGAAAGTCTGATTTTTAATTTTCTCCCTGTTTGTCCCACATAAGAAGCATCACAAACACAACAATTGATCTTGTAGACTACATTCCTTTTTAAAATTCATTATGTAAAGAATCTTTATGAATCTTAATAAACTGATTCAACTTGTTCAAACTAAAAAAAGAAAACTTTTGGCAAACCACATTAATTATATTCTTTATTCGATATCTCTTCTAAATACGGTATGGAAAATCATTTAACTCGTTCTTTAGATAGGTAAGTTGTTATTTGATCTTTTAGTTGAATAAGAATTCAACTTATTTATTAATGTTTTAACTCTTAAAACTATTAATTATATTTAACTAGTTAGATATTCATAAAATTACATATCATATTTAGATTACATACTTTTTGCTATCAAGATATTACTATTGATGCTTGCGTGCTCAAAAGTCCGATCTATACATAAAACGCAGGTCGCAGATCGCAAGTAAAACGTATTTCATATTGTAATAAGTCGCAGACCGCAATACGCAAGACACAGGATGCGAAAGTTGAAATTCACCCAACTTCCTACGTTTTGCATCCTACAATCATATTATAATTAAGATACGTTAGATTAGTTTTTAGTTTTGCGACCCCTGTGACCC